TGTGAATCGATTCGAAGTTCCACACCGTCAATAGTCCCTCAATCGTTGCGAGGGCCAGGACTTCATCCGAAGAAAGTTCTTTTGTGCATTTAGTGGGACCGGAAAGGTGTGGTCTACTACGAGCTCCTTCCTCAAGTTGAAACGATCAATTCGGCTAAATATTGTAATCAACTCGATGAATTGAAAGCCGCCGTAGCAGAGAAACGGCCGGAATTGGCGAACCGACGCGGCCTCGTTTTCCATCGCGACAACGCAAAATCGCATGTCGCGTTGATCATAAGACAAAAAATTATTGCAGTTCGATTGGGACGTTCTACCTCATCCTCCGTACTCCCCAGATATTGCTCCATCCGATTATTACTGGTTCTTCTCGTTAAAAAATTTCTCTCCGTGAAAAACGGTTTAAATTCGTCAGCGAAATAAAAACGCGCCTTGATCGATATTTTGCAAATAAGCCTCAACAATCTTGGAAAGGCGGCACAATGAGGCTTCCTGAAAGATGGACGAAGGTAATAGAGCAGAACGGTTCATATGAGCCGTTTATTTTGAAAGCGGCATAAGCCATTTTACCGTAATGAAAAGTGGTGATTTTTTAATGTTTATACGAAATTATTTATACTGAAAAAAATATCAGTATCTTGAGATAACAAATACAAGTAAATCTTCTCGAAAGTTAGCATCCATATTTTTAAACGCGTTAAAACGCAAACCCTTAAATATATCGACTTGAAAACAAAGTGACTTAAAATAAACGGCTCATATATAGCTCAATGAATCAACCTTGAACAACAAATATCGTGTAATCATTTCGCATCAGAAAAAAGGAAAGAACTTATGGGACACCCCAGTACAATGCACGGTGTACGTATTATCCCGGGGTAATATATTTTAGCCCCTGGTCTAACTAGAAACCTGAACAAATGTGTCGATGGAAACGGACAAGGATAATTTGTAACTCTTCGATGGCGATAAGAATGGTCATTTCATCACAGGTTGCCGGACAACGTGTCGCTGGAAGAAGGGGCGTTGATGGAGCCATTATCGGTCGGCGTGCACGCTTGCAAGCGAGCCAACATCGGTATCGAATCGTCGGTGCTGATTTTGGGAGCAGGCCCGATCGGGCTCGTAAGCCTGCTGACAGCTAAAGCAATGGGTGCCAGGAAAGTCATAATCCTCGGTACGCTGAGAAAGAATCTTCGCCCGCAGCTGCAATAGAAAAGCTGAAGTCGAACGTTTTCTTTAGATCTGGTGCAAGAAAGGTTGGAGGTCGCGAAGAAGTTGGGCGCCGACGAGACGCTCGTCATCAACAGGGAGAAGTGCGACGAAACTGAGATCACGAAGAAGATTCACGATCTTCTCGGAGAAGAGCCTGACAAGACGATCGACGCGACCGGCGCGCAGTCGATGATCCGCTTGGCGATTCTCGTGAGTTTTCTCCCCCGGTTTTTCTCTTCTCCTTCTTTCGTCCACTCGCACTATAGACATAAAGCATCGACTCGCGTTTGCAGGCAACCAGATCCGGCGGAGTAGCAGTTCTGGTGGGCATGGGCGCACCGGAGGTGCAAATTCCACTGTTCGACGCACTCAGCAGGGAGGTGGACATCAGGGGCGTGTTCCGATACGTGAACGAGTACGTTTCTACTACTGTTTTACCAATGAAACATTTGCCGCAGAACTCGGCGAATAGCGTGGACAATCGTTCGATCATGTTTCCTTCTCTCGTTTCCCGCAGTTACGCCGACGCCCTGAATCTTCTGGCTACGAAAAAGATAGACGTGACGCCGCTCATAACACACCATTTCAACATAGAGGACACCGTGGCAGCGTTCGACGCTGCGAAATCGGGACAGACTGGCGTGATCAAGGTCATGATACATTGCAAATAGGTCGGACGATTGTCGAACCAAGGGGACGCTTGACTTTTTCACGCAACGACGTAACAATCGGCGAACGTCGATCTGTCGCGGAAGCTGAACGAAAACGATATTCCAACGGATCATTCCTCTTGTCATACTTGTTTCGTGCCAAAAAAAGAGACATCAACGAATTCGAGCTAATTGTCGATTACCAAGGACCAAGTTTCTCTCGGTGTAGGTGCTAGTCACGCGTATGTACAGTAATGTCTCCCTTACTGACGCTCAGGCTGCGTACGGAAATGGACAGTTTGGGAAGAGCAGATACGATTATTCGAACCTTGCGACTCGTTTTCATAGTTGTTGACAATCGATAACCATAAAAAAAGCCGAGCAACAAGGCTCGAACTATCGTATCTTCTCTTCCAAAATAGTCCATTTTTGTGGACAATCTGAGCGTCGATTAGAGAGACATTACTGTATCTGGTATTTGCTTTAAGCTTAAGATTTATAAGTTGTGTTCGACGAGGAACTTGAAAGCTTCCACAGCATGAACGAGACACTGACTCGAGTTTCGTGGTTTGTTAATAAAGGAAAGTCTTTCTCTATCCACCTTGCCTGGACAGTTTTCATTATTTCATGTTTTCTAGCCTTCCGTGGTCGTAGCGTTCGAGGATGTTGCGTTACAAAACGCATTGTCCCGGAGTCGGTGCTATCGCGTAGCCATTTTTCAGCCAGCGTTTCGAGATCATTGTCCGTCGGATGGAAATGATGAAACGGCTCCGATCCACGGAATCGAGGAACGTACCTGCGGAAAAGCATACGGGAGCAGGTAATTAATATGCTCGCTGCGCGATCGGCCCGACGAGAGTTTACGGTCCGGCTTTCCCGTTCTGCCACCGAATTGAAATTGATTGGTCAGGGCATCCGGTTAGGGTCTGTCTCGTCTTGACCGCAACACCGCATCGTAAATACGGGAAGACGTTCCACGTCGCTTCCGCGATCTCCGTTCGCCGCGACCGCGTTTCCTTCCGCTTTCGTGGAGCATCTACCCGCCTTGCTGAAATATCATGGCCCCGCACGTGTTCCACAAAAACCGCAAAGTGAAAGCGAATCTACGAATCTGTGGTCTGCAAAACTTACACGCCACGGGGCCCGTGAAGCTTCGCCTTGCGCGCCATGTATCGTGTTACCATCGTTGGGAAACGTAGCGCTGCCGCAATTATTTTTCAACGTTCGCGAGCCCTGAAAGGGCTAATGACTACAGGCTACAGGCGAAAGTTTCCTGACGCGTCTGTTCTGCATTATTCATCGCTTGTCTTCGTTCTTTATCTGTGTTCACGTTGCCATGCGTCACAGAAAATGTTCGGCTACTGGCAGCTAGAACAACGATACTGTTTGTACTTTACTGTAAGCATGCAGATCCACAGACCTATGGGCTTCGAGAGTAGCCTAACATCCAGAAAGTTCAGAAAGTCCAGAAGTTCCAAATGTTCCAGAAAGTCCAGAAGTTCCAGATATTCCAGAAGTTCCAGAAAGTCCAGAAGTTCCAGAAGTTCCAGAAAGTCCAGAAGTTCCAGAAGTTCCAGAAAGTCCAGAAGTTCCAGAAGTTCCAGAAAGTCCAGAAGTTCCAGAAGTTCCAGAAAGTCCAGAAGTTCCAGAAGTTCCAGAAAGTCCAGAAGTTCCAGAAGTTCCAGAAAGTCCAGAAGTTCCAGAAGTTCCAGAAAGTCCAGAAAGTCCAGAAGTTCCAAAAAGTCCAGAAAGTCCAGAAGTTCCAGAAGTTCCAGAAGTTCCAGAAGTTCTAGAAATTCCAGAAAGTCCAGAAAGTTCAGAAGTTCTAGAAGTTCCAGAAGTTCTAGAAGTTCCAGAAAGTCCAGAAGTTCCAGTAATTCCAGAAATTCCAGAAGTTCCAGAAGTTCCAGAATGTCCAGAAGTTCCAGAAGTTCTAGAAGTTCTAGAAGTTCCAGAAAGTCCAGAAGTTCCAGAAAGTCCAGAAGTTCCAGTAATTCCATAATTTCCAGAAGGTTCAAATGTTTGAATTTCCAGTGTACCGTCTATTTTCACGAAGATATTGGTTAATATTATCATATTGAACAAATTCGTGCAAGTAATGTCGCCTTTAAGGTGAAGTTTCAAGTATGTCAGAAGAAGAACTAATGCACCACTCCTGAAAGAAACAATCGAGCTATTAGTTTCGGAACAATGTTCGTAATATATGTACACAAATCGTGGCGGATCGGTTATTTGCTGGAAAGGAGAATCCATTTGGCGGAGAGGGCAGGCGATTGCACCCCTCACCTGGAAAGCAGCGGCATTAGGAATTAGGAGACTCCGGCTGTGCGTGAGTGCGTACTCTTGTGTACTTACTCGGAGGAAGCGTCTAGCGAGCGCGAACGACAACATCGATCTGAACGTCGACGACGATTCTCTCGAGGGAAACGCACCGATGTCGGTTATGTTTGCATCGTAGACCAAACCGAATATACCGAAATGTTCCAGTCGGCCGAACCGAATCCGCCCCAGCGGTTGCTCGCCACGATTGCCTCGCTCGATTCGCTCGCCTCGCTCGCCTCGTCCGACCGAATTTCTGTTTACATTCTCGTTCCCACTCTAATTAATTATCCTCCGTCCCCGATAATGTACACCGGCCGCCGCGCCCGCTTTTCATTCCTGCCACCGTTCGAACTACATCTCTTCTCGGCCTCGTCCTTCTCCCGTTCCTTCTCCCCCCCCCGCCCCCCTCGTTTTTCGTCGATACGTTTTAATGAAACGTCGACGATTGCCTTCGAGGATCTATGCCACTTTTGAACCACGCGACAGCCACGGAACGGTGGACGATCACTCGCACGTAATCGCGCTAGCAAATGACTAGGTGTAGCAATGTTAATAGTAAAATATTGATTAATCCGCGTGTGGCCGATACCAGGGAGAACGGGACCACGCGGCAATCAGAATTTTGCGGCTGCCGTCGCGCGAATGAAAAGTGCTCGGCTGGAAATGGTAGCGCCGAGGGAAATGAGTTCGATGTATCCGATGTCGCTTCGTAGTTCGGGAGAGGAAAACAGAGATAGAGAAAGAGGGAGAGAGAGGGCGAGAGGAGAGAGAGAGAGAGAGAGAGAGAGACGTGTCCTATGCGAGCGTGAAGCATCCTTCGAGAATAGCAAAGAATGGGACTCGAGTGCAGACGCGCGGTTCGAAAACAGACTGCGCGCTTCGAGTACCTCTCGAGTAACGTAGAAGGCTAATAGAAGAAGTCATGCGGCGTCATTGTTAGCAGACAACATCGCAGATGGTTGGGCCAGCGCGCCGCTGAATAGTTCTGATTCATAGAATCGTTGAAAAGCACCACTCGACATTCCTGTCGCGGTGCACCTTCCGCCGCGCGCCATTTTATTTTCAACGGAATAACCCGATCGCGGTCGAATTATCCCTAGGCGATCCTACGGTCAACGAGATTTCACTCTTTCGCAATTACAATCACAATTACGGATTATATTGTATAATTATATATTACAATATTAAATTAATTATTAAATGATATTAAATTATATATTATATAATTATATAATTACGATTACAATTACAATTACGAATTATATTCTATAATTATATATTACAATATTAAATTAATTATTAAATAATATTAAATTGTATATTATATAATGATATAATTACGATTACAATTACAATTACGAATTATATTATATAATTATATATTACAATATTAAATTAATTATTAAATAATATTAAATTATATATTATATAATATTAAATTATATATTATATAATTATATAATTACGATTACAATTACAATTACGATTACAATTATAATTACGATTACAATTACGATTACGATTACAATTATAATTACGATTACAATTACAATTGTGATATCAGTTACGACGTTGGCCAACTGTTACAGCGTTCCGTTTTCGAAAGAGAAAGATCGTCGACGATCGTTTCGATCGACGTGCCCGACTTACACGAGTATCGAAATCGCGGTAATGCAATCAGCCGGTAAGTAATCCATTTTCCCGAGGCAAGAAGCAGGTCGTAGAGAGGTGGACGTAATTGCGTTAGAGTAATTACGTTATAACGGTACGTATAGCACTTTTCCGAATAACGGCGGCGAACAGCGTGTCGCAACAGCCGCGATTTTTACATCAGCGATGAAACTTGCGCGTAACGTTGTTTGATTAACATTAACACCTGGGAGAAAGATGCACAAGTCATCGATTCGGTCTTCTTAACCTTTCGACTGCCCGGATGACGGAATATGGCGTCACTAACGTTGTACCCTATTTTGGAGAGTATGTGTCATCTTTCATCCGACTTGATTCGCGAGGAAAAATATTTAGGAAACCCAATATCTTGTTAAATGGTGTCTGCGGGGCTGTAAATAATTTTTCTCATAAATCGAGTCGGATGAAACAGAATTATCTATTCTTCAAAGATAAGATAAATATAATATAATATAAATATATAGATATAATATAATATAATATCAATATATAAATATAATATAATATAAATATATAAATATATAAATGTAATATAATATAAATCTATAACTATAATATAATATAATATAAATCTATAACTATAATATAATATAAATATATAAATGTAATATAATATGATATAAATATATAAATATAATATAATATGATATAAATATATAAATATAATATAAATATTAGTGCAGTAAATTCTCCCTAATTCGCGCTCAGATTTTGCAGAAAAATGAACAATTTTGGAAGAGAAGACACGTTTATTCGAGCCTTGCGACTCGTTTTTATAATTCTTGAAAATCGGTAACCATAAAAACAATGCGCAAGGCTCGAATAATCGTGCCTCCTCTTCCCAAATTGTCCATTCTTGCGCATAATCTGAGCGCGAATTAGGGAGAATTTACTGTACATCCAAATGACACCGTGCCGACAATCGAAAGGTTAAACGTCGACGCAGGTGTACTTGGTTTTTTTCGCGTACGTTCAACAAGAGGGCCGACAACCGGAGGAACGAACGGGGTTGGCAGAGGGTTGGCCAAATCAGGATGCATATTTGGAGCGGAGGACGAGAGTAGGCAGAGCGGGTGAAGCGGGCGAAACGAGGAACGGCATGGCAAATGTGAACGCAAACGCGGACGCGGAGGCGAACGCGAACGCGAACGCAAACGCAAACGGGAACGACGAGCAGTAAGC